AAAAAAGTTAAAGTTTGTCACATGCTGCCAAGAGCAACTGTAGTTTTCCAAAATTACTAGAAATAATTTTGTGTCACCCACTAAAAAAGTTACTAAATTATGCAAAATTAGCAACTATATTGTTTTCCCTGCCTTGGAACAAGTTAAAGTGTAACCAGATAATTAAACCTCAAAGGTTTGCCTACGCTTAGAGCTCCGGAAAGAATATCAATGTCATGACTTTTGTTTCACCCACAGTACAGAGATATGCACTAGAGGCAATGCATATTGTTTGTTCATGATACAGGTGAAAAGTTTGTGCTGAACCTGAACCCCAGTGTCCTGTAAACCTCACAAAAAGACTCATGGCCTTGATTGTGCTAGATTATTCAAAGTAACCCTCTATGGGTGGACTAAAGAAAGAACCCAGAAAGTGCCCAAGAAATTTCGGCAAGTCTGTAAAAGCACTTGTACCCAAAAGTAGGTCGCCTCTGCAGACACTGTAAAGAAATTAGTTTTGCACATTTGTGGAGTAGAAAAAGGATTTAACCTTTTCTTGCACAGTAGCTGATGTCATCATAGGTGAGAGTATTGGGAAGCAGCTAATCTCAATTTTTGAACTTGTTGGAGTAGTGCACCCAAACGTGAAACCAGACCAGATAGGTGCTGCAACAAACACCACAAGGACAATGGGTAGGAGTGCGGAGAGAGCAACAAACAAGCACGAAAAAGGGGAACACAACACGGGCTCGGGCATCAACAGACCCGTCCCCAAAGCCTGACCGGCTACCCCGTCTAAGGTTGATCGAACATCCTAGGTGACTTTGTGGTTCAAACTGCCACCCGTTACAAAAGGTACGTGTCGTCAATGTGGACACCTCCATCCCCAAAAAACAGTAGTCCATAATGCGAGTAATTTGTAATAACAAGTCAAAATGCACATATTTTACCTAGTTCATCCCCAAATATTTTGTCTATATGTTAGGGCACCCGTATTCCATCCATCTATCCATCCTACCTATGATGGTGACATGATTGGCCGTTCAGCACTGCCGTGTTGTTTGTGAAGTCGCGTAGTTCTCAGAGACTCGTGGCAGATAGTAAAGAGGAAATTCTGACAAAGGTGTACCTGTAAGCTGCCCCGAACGGGTGAAATCGGGCACAACCAAAGCCCGGTCCGAACAGTTGCATTAGTTGCATTCAAAGCGACCGAAACGACAGCAACGATTGAGTCATTGGGATAAGCAATTGCCGCAGACAACGTGGCAAGCAACTAAAAAAAAGTAACTTCGGGACGCGATCACGAGCCACAGCCGCCTCAATTGTTGCCGTCGTTTGCAATGCCGTCGATTCAACTGACGCAAATGTGCGAATCGGGCTTAATTCCGAAGACAGTGCTTCCGGCGAAATATTTGTGGTCATTGATTCTTATCAAACTTTCACCGTGTACTAAATATCCACCCATGAGCGTGGTCTACGAAATATTTAATCAGCATATTCCTTTCCTTTTGAGAACAAGAATTTTGAAGTTTACTCGTATAACTCCGGATCACTTGCGACATCAAATGTTGTACCCGAGAGCGGACGACACTCCCTACTCTGTGGCGTCATGCGTTGTAGGGACAGTGAGCATCTGTTGTTTTGCGTCATGCTTCCGATTTAGTTTGTTTGAGGCATGTGATGGAGGGTGGGGGGAATCGGTGATGGGCTGTGGGGTGCAATAACACGACGAAGAAATGCAGCAGGGCGACACATCTCGTTGGCTTCCAACCGAGAAGCCTCTTCGTTGGAAATGGGTCAGAGCGGTCCGACGCAAATGCCGGCTGCCAGCATTTGCGTCGTGCTAGAAAACAGTTTGCACCTTGCTAGCAAATAAAACCTCCCATGATGTTCTGCTTCGAAGAGAGCACCTGGGTCCACGTGTCGGGGGACCGCGAATGCAGCTCCCACGGAGGGTCTCCTGGGGGGCGATGCTGGCGGATCGAATGCGAACGGCGAATCGTCCGAACTCTCGCGTTGAAAATCTCAGAACATTAGTCGGGCACTGCTCGACTAAGATGAGCTCGACGAATTGTAGTCAATTATTTCTCACGGACAATCGCGACGGCCTTCTGACGTTGTGCGAAATGGGCACGAGCTGCCCGCGTACCTATGTTTATACAACCTCTGACGTCACAACATGACGGTGAACCAGTAAAGTTGCAGGTTAGTTTCGGTTTCGGTTATATAGTATTGCAACAATTAAAAATTATTTAAAAATTACTCGGGAAATTTACTTGCTCTAGGCTGTTTCCTCTGTTCCTTTAGAAAAAATGTTTAGTTGAAAACGTTCAAATTGATGCCGGAGCTACAATCGCGCTACATTGGAAGGCGAACAAAAGCGTGTGGCTTTCTGTATATACTGCGCAGCCTGGCGGCAGGCTACGGATGCGGAAGGTTGCGCGTGCAAAGTAAGACCAAAGATATGAGGATTCCCATCCAACCATGATATGCCTCGACCGTTGCTCAGTGTACAAGCGCTTTGGCCTGGCACAGGAACGCTTTGTCACGGTGCACTGCGGCCACACCACACAGCGAGGAGCCAAGATAACGGTGGCACAAACGGGCCTTTAGCACCGCAGCCCGCAAAGTCAAGCACTCGCACTCTGAGCGATGGTCCAAGACCACGTCAAGGCATATCATAGTTGGATGCGAATCCTTGTACGTGGGGCCTTACTGCGCACGTAAAACCTTCCCTAGCCCGCCGCCAGGCTGCGCAGCATGTACAGAAAGCCATCTGCTCTTTCGTTTGTATTTCAACACATCGCAATTGTATTAGAACACTTATGCAGGGTGTCTAGCGACCGGGAAAACCGGGAATTGTCAGGGAAACTTTAACTACTGGAAAAAATCAGGGAATTGTCAGGGATCATGTCAAAAAGCGAGCCCAGTCAGGGAAAATGAGCCTGGAACGCCATCGAGTGCCTTGAGCAAAGACTTGCGGACTTGGGGGCAGAAAAATAGGCAATAAATTCTGCTTAGAGCGGAGCACGGGCTTTTCTTACCCAATGTAGAGTGTGCTACCCATTTCAAAGGGAACAGCCGACAAATCCAGTCCAAGCCTTGAATTAAATTGAATTGGATTGAGGGCGCGACACTAGGCTAGATCCAGTAAGAGCTACTAGAGTTAGTAAGAACTGGGAAGGCCGCACACCCCAATCTAATCCAAGCCTTAAGTATCCGAAAGTGCGCATCTGGCCGCCATGCTGTCATTCAGTTATTGACATGTGTGGTTGAGCGTCCTGTTTTTATCATGTTTCCGGAAGTGGCCCCTTTACTGACGATGTCGGCGGCAAGAGAGTGCTCGTTTAATCTGGACGGGACGAACCTGAATATTTCGGTACATACAAGTTGATTAAGCCCGTACAAAATGATCCTCACAGTGCTCAATGCTGAATGCCAATTTTATTGTAATGGTCTAATATATTTAACCGCCTCTACAGTGGTCAGGAAATTTCACCTGAAATTGTCAGGGAAAACCTGGAAAAGTCTGGGAATTTCAAAATAATAGTTTGCTAGGCATTCTGCTTATGACACCCAACTAACTTTCACCAAAAAATATTTTTTTATTAAATATTTACGTAGGGAGGCACATTTTGAGCCAAGAGCGATTCTGACTTTTCGGCATGTCGACCCAAAATAGAAGCATGCTTTGGAATCACTCCCAGAGACGCTGAACTTTTCCCACCAAAAATGTGCTTTTGTTGATGGTCCGATCTCACCAGCCAGTTTGACTGCGCTACCGCTGCCGCAATGCATTGAGGGATCCTTAGCCTTCTCACACGTGCGACAAACCCGCTGGAGTTCTGCATGTGTGGAGCACGAGACGGCTCAAGCCCTCGTGCATAAACGGCCTTCTGCCTCCCGCGAACTAAAGTTATGGCGGCGTCATGCATGTGCCGAACGCTTGGTGAGATCGGTCTATCGCAGGCGATCTCGCAAAGCTAATTTCCCCGAAAAACTTTTCAGCGCAGTATTTACATCCTTGGCATCGATAGAGGCGTAATATTTTAAATTGATTTATAGTATTTACATCCTGAGGTTTTCTTTTTGAACGACGAGTAATTCTAAAACATACTGCTTCTGTTTCGGCACACAGTCCAAGCCTTGCCAACTAAATACTGCGCTAAAAAAAGAAAAGTTGTGAAAATTTCATTTTGCAACATGCATTTCTAATATTAAAGCACATTAAAAAAAAAAGTAAATTTTCTAGGGGGGTGGGTAAAATGATAAACTACATAAATACTGTAGAAGCATTTTTAAGTCGCCACGATTGCTATTGGATGTCAAGGAGTTTGGAAAAGGGCTTGTAACGAGTCAAATGGCCCCTCCCAAAAAGTGTGCTGGCATGGCTTCTGCCGTGGGCTCTTTAATCTCGGGTGTATCCTCTGGGCCTGGGGGCATACCGAAATAAATAAATAAATGGAAGTCTGTTGTCCTTGACAGACGGTAACTAAAATTTTTACCCTTGTGTTGAACGGTTCGTGTCAAATCGAGGCAAATCGCAAAGATGTCGTTCTATGCACGTGTTCTCCACGGATTGCACCGCCTGTCAACAGGCAGCAAGAAATATTTCAAAAGCCTTTCTTGCATGACCTTCCCCATTATACTTTTGAATGTGGCATCTTGATCTGGATATCAGATCGATGTACATTTCGTTTAACAGGGAGACTCGCTATTTATATGGAGTTTTGGAACTTCTGATCAAGAACCCAGGGAATTTGACAGAGTACTCACTGTCGTTATCATCAAATGTTGTGGAAGCCTCTCTTTCAATTCTAATGTCCATAAAACGTGTGTTGACGAAAAGTTGTCCATGTTTCGATGGAACAACAGAAGCCCTTTTAGGTATCACTCTAAATTTTTGTGTGGGAAGCTGAAAAATGTACCGTGGCTTGACTGAAAGATGCAACATGAATTGTGTTACTTGCACTGTTAATCCAGCACTCTGACTAAGAAAATAAAAGATATACTCATTCACGTAATAAGAACAAACAGTTTTTTTAATATGTTGCAGTTTCTCACTCCTACAGCATACATTCAACTCGAACTGGCAGTTAGTTTGCACATTCCTAATAAGTAGTGACCAGAAGGAGGCAAAATAAATTATTCTCTAAAACGAAAAACATTGCAAACAAAGACCACGTCAACGCGACTGGCAGAAAATGCGAGCACGCTGAGCAGCTTGCCAAGTGCAACACACCAACAAAACATGCAGCGACATGCCGGGACAATGAGAGCAGCATTCCACGGGCACGTGTACGAGAAGATCCTAAAAGACGGCGCCCTCGCCAAACAGACGGTGGCGGGCGTGAAGGGGGGGGTGGTGTACTCACAGACTACAAAACCGAGGCCCGGAGGGGGGGGGTCGAGGTTGCCTCTACGAGGTGTGCTCGGTGCCCGAGCTGCTGGGCGCCGACGAATTGTCCGGGGACGTCACGACCGACGACGAACTGCCGGACAGCCGCAACGACAAGTCCACCGGCGCCTTGGCCACGGCTGCCACCTTGGCGTGGCACTCGCAGTCGCAGTCCTTTGAAGGCGAGCTATCCGCGCTGCTCCGGCCGGCCCGCACGCCCGTCTCGTCGTGGGGCAGGTCGGCCGAGAAGAAGTGACAATTGCATGGGCAGCCACGGCACTCGCAGTCGCACAGGCGGCACTCGCATTCGCACGGCGCCGCGTTGCGCTCGAAGGGGTTGGCTCCGTCGCCGCCGCCACCGCTGGGGGCGCACGCCTCGTCGCGGAATGCGGCGGCGACCCAGTGTGCGTCGTCGCTCGGGGTCCGCTCTCCCTTGGGAAAGAAGCGGCTGCCCTCGCCTGGCGATCCCGCGGGGCTGTCCGCGTCGTCCCCTCCGCTCTGGGACCGCTTGCGGACGCGGGGGCTCTGCAGGCCCTCCTCGCAGAAGTTGAGCCAGCTCTTGAGCGAGCTGCGGCGCGGGCTCTTGGGGGCCCGCGCCGAGAACTGCTCGCCGGGGAGAAAGAGCTTGATCTTCTCGACGCGCTCGGCCGTTGCCGATGCGGCGAGGTCCGGAGATGCGGCCGAGCCGTGGATGAAGGCCTCGAGGGGCGCTACGTTGATGGGGGTGGTGCTGCGGGGCCGCTCGATGGGGATGGTGACCACCTCCAGCCGCTGCTTGCGTGTGGGTGTCCGCACGGGGCTCTTGGCGGGCGTCGCGGGGGAAAACACCATCAGGAAGTCCTCGCACTCCACGGAGTCCTGGGCGAGCAGTGTTTCTGACTCAAACTCGTCCTGGCTTGTCTGCTTGGAGACCTTCAGCTTGACCCGCTCGCTGCTGCTGGCTTCAAACCCCAGCTCAGACTCCGAGGAGACATGGTCGTCTGGAGGAGGGGACTCCTCCTTCCGGTCGCTGTTGCGCCGGCTGGCGCTGGCACTGGGGATGTCTGCCAGGGACTGACAGGGCCGCTCCAGAAAGCACGTCTTGGCGTTCTCAAAAGGGTCCCGGTTGCACTCTTCCTCCAGGTCTTGCGAAAAGGCGTGGTGGAACTGTTCCACTAGCTCAGGGGCTATCTCGGCCCTTGTCTGGATCTCGAGGGCCTGCGGCCTCTTCGACGGCGACGCCTCCTCTATCGGCGCCTCCTCTTCCGCTCTGCGGTCTCTCTTCGAATCCTTTTCCTCCGAGGTCGCCTGGGGCACAAACTCTCGGATGGCGTCCTCGTCGTGAACCGTGATAGAAAGGCGTGGCGGGACGCACGGCGGAGTCCGCGGAGGAGACGGAGTCTTGCTCCGCGGAGACTTGCGGCCGCCGAGCTTGAGCAGCGACGAGAGGAACCCTCCTCCGCCGCTCCCGGCGTCCTTCTTCTTGGACTTTTCCGACGTCTTTACAGAGTCCCTCGGTGCGGAGTCAGGGGCGTACGGGGGGGTGTCGGCTGGGTTGCGGTGCGGCGAGCTCTGGGGAGATCGGCTGCGGCTACGGCTCCTGCTTCGACTGCGAAAGATGTCGGTCCAAGAGCCCTTGCGCTTGGTTCCGTCGGCGCTTGGCGACGTCGCCTCTTCGTGCTGCGGCGTGAGGAGGATAGATCCCGAGGAGAGCTTCTTCTTGTGCCCGTCTTCGCCTGTCATCGGCGTGTCTGTGGTTTCGTTTTGCGGGGTCAGGAGGATGGAGCCAGAAGAGAGCTTTTTCTGGTGGCCATCTCCGCCCCCCACCGTCCGGGCCGTCACGTTCGCCGCGGCGGTCGCCGGAGACTGCCCTCTCGGGGCTGCCCCAACCGGGGACAGGGGCTTGCCCGCTTCCAGGCTCGAGATGGGAGAGGAGGCAGATCCATTTGGCGCAACGATGTCGATCGGGGTCTTCGGGGGTTCGCAGGGCGTCAGCGTCATGTGCGAGTCACCGTCGCTCTCCACCTGCAGATTAGATGCCATTTCACGCTTTCCTTCTCTTCTGCCTGTCGACTCGGAGCACTTCCCATCGACAAATCAAAGTGACTATTTATCAAATTATCAGTAAAAAGCTATTAATTTTCAACGGCTCTTCCGTGCGGTCGGAGTCATTCCGCTTCTCGGTTACAGTGTTACCCAACTCCATGTAGAGAGCCGGTTCAAAGTGTGTGCTAGAGCCACCGAATGCTCTCCCCAGCATCCGCTTGAACCAAAAAAATGAGTGATCCAAGCTTTCCAATTGGCCGATGCTGGGAGAAGAAAAATACTTCGATAAATGTATGTAACACATGTATGCACAACAGCTTTAAACGGCCCGTGAATTATGACATGTCATAAAACTTTAGCCACGTTGGGTTTTGCTGGGACTTTCTACATAAACTAGCCTGCAGTCTCGGTACTTCGAAAACATTCAATGGCCCTAGTGTACGCTAAAAGAAAGAAGGTAGTTTTTTTTAAGGAATCATCAAACGCCCTTCTTGTTCACGAAAGCTGGAGCAGGTTGCGAACAACGTGAAGCAGGTTGCGAACAACAAAGTGTGGCAAACTGCTTGCCATACTTAAAGGGGCACTTAACCGCTTTCTGCGATGGTCTCTTTATGCTCGAAACGCAATCTATGGGCTCTAAGCATCCTAAAAGGCAAAACATTATGCTCACAGATAGCCGATTTCTCCATTAAGATCATCGGCACCAAAGATTGATTACCTCGGAACTATCGCAGACGCAAGAGGATGTCATCGGACGAGAAGCCCTTCTCGTTTAACAGCTTGTAGCGTCGGTTTTGGTCTGTCGTAACGTGAAATGAACTGTTCGGAAAACGCTCCAACCGTCGCACCCGTAGTGGCTAACTCGAGGACGAAACCCATGGGGGTAACAAGAACTACTTGTTTGTGTTCCTGATGCAGCACTCAACCGATCTAGCCACACGCCGCGTCTGCGTTCGGCTGGGGCTCCCATTCAATCGGTGGGGCACTGACAGGCCTTCGGAAAAAATTCCGAACATTCGCGCACAAAGTTTGTTTGTTCCTTTTTGCCCCCATGGCCTCTACCACATGGCACCAAGGGAACAGGACAGAAGGAGAGCAGCGCAGTTCCTCGCATGCCCTTGCCCGATTTCGCTCTGTAGCTTTTATAGTCTGCTACGACTGGCTCTGGGGGGGGGGGGGGGGGGGGGGGGGGGAAGGAAGGAAGGAAGGAAGGAAGGAAGGAAGGAAGGAAGAAAGGAGGAGGAGGAGGAGGAGGAGATGTAAAGATGGGAGCAGAACGCGGCAAATCCCGAGCGCCGACCCCGAGAGAAACAATAAGAAAGAGAGCGACCGAAGAGTGGAGAAAGAAAACAGACAAAAGGTTAGGCGCGTTTGTTTTACCACGACTAGTTGAAGTTGTTTGAGTGCTCGCCAACTTTATTTATTTCTATGCAATGCACCGTTCCGGTGTTCTCCTGCAAAGTAAACTGGAAAAGAACAGAGTACGGACCTTACAGGCGACGTTCTGCTGCTTCTTTGCACATGTTAGGGCGTCGCCAGCGACACGGGCCCGTCGGGACCAGCGACGTCCACGTCTACACCCCGTTGTTTCCATAGCGGCCCGAATGCATGGAAGCCGTGGGTCCTTTCCCCCAGACCGTCGTATTAACTCTACGGGTGGCGTACCTAGACTTCCTTTGGTGCCGACAACGGCGCCGCACGTTTAGCGTCTGCAAAACGCGAGTTCCCCGCCGAATGCCAACGCACCACTCGCGTTCAATCTGCGCCCTGCCTGCGACGGAGAAAGATGACGTAAACGATCCAGTCCGGAGGCCTTTGGAGGCCTCGTGTTGGGCAAACACCCAGCTTCGTGGAAAACGAGCCAACAAACCGCCCCTCGGGCCGCCGTCGTGCTACTCGTGCATCGTACAAAAAAAAAAGGTGTTTGCCGCAGACACAACGACAGAGTTATCTGCGGAAATACCTCGAGAGTGCTCGAGGCACGTTTGCTCAGTACACACGTACGCTTCGAAGGTGACTGCACAGTTTTTCATCGAACCGTCGTACATGGAAGAAACGCGGCTCAGACAGCGTTTGCAGACCGCCTTTTGCACGACAGGTTACCAGCACAACCGTGGCTTCACGGTAGGGTCTCCTCGCCAAAAGCTCGCGAAATGGACACTTTCCGAGTCGACGGCAACGCGGACGTGAGAAGGAGGGCGCAGGAGACGTACGTGCGGGGTGGACACCTCCGACGGGACGAGGGTGTCGGGGCTCTGGAGACTGGGGCTCTTGGCGAGCCGGCCGCCGTCGGGAGAGGGGTCTCCCCCGTGTCGGCCCCCCTCGGGGCTGCTGTCCTGGTCGTCCGTGGGGAGGTCCTCGAAGGAGGCCAGGGGGGCCGGGCCGAAGCGCCTCTGCCTCGAAGGGTAGCTCCCCTTCTTGGGGGGCGGGGCGGGGGCGGGGGCCGCCGCCGCCGGTGCCGCCGCCGCCATGCCTCGCGGGGCCCTCGCGGCGGGGCACGCGTCTCCGATCGGGGCCTAGGGCTGCACGGCAGAGATGGGGAGAGGCTGCGGGAATGGTATTTGCGACTCCGGCGACCTCTAGAAACTTCTAGAAGAGGCATAGCGTAAGGGGGTACATTAAAGTCACGTGGTTAATAATAAAATTGGAGGGAAAAAACCAAATAAGGACATGAAGGAGAAATGAGACATTTACAATTTTCTGTATTGCGAAATTAGAGTACAGCTTTTGGGAAGGAGGACGGCAGGTTAGGCCCTTCTTCCCCCTCCATACCCTCCCCTCCCATTTCGCTGGAAATTTTCACAAAATTCCCCACTAAATTTAGCGAAAATTTCCCCGCTAAATTTAGCAGGTTAAGTTTCCTCGCTAAATTTAGTAGGAAAATCGGCATCATGTGACCTCAACACCAATTCAGTTTCCCCGCTAAATTTAGCGGAGAAACTGACGTCCCATGCTGCAACGCCAGCGGTTACGCCGATGCCGCTCAACACGGACACGGGCCTAAGGGCTGCACTCTAAAAAGCATCTTTATACAGACATTATTCTAACAACTGAACAACCCCCTGTGTGAAATAGTTGTAATCACTTGTTGTCACCAAACTAGAGGGCAGACTGTTCCAATGAGAAATGCATAGTCAAAGAGGTAAGTATTTGTAGGCGTTAGTTCAGGAAAAATAAATGGCTTCAACATTATAAGGATGATCTAGGCGAGAGGAAATATGATGGGCCAAGGAAATAAATGTTCTAGGTGACCGTGGATTATAATACAGCTTGTGCATGAAAGAGAGCCGGTCACTTCTTCTGCGAGTGTCGAGAGTTTAGAGAGATATGGACACTCTCAAAGAAGAAGCCGCGAATCATAAAACGGGCCGCATTGTTCTGGACAGTCTCGAGTTGGTTAGTGAAGTATATCTGATAAGCGTTCCATATGATAGATGCATATTCTAACTTAGTCCGCACCAACGTGCTGAAGGCTAAACGCTTGACATTTGAGTCGGCGATGTTTTAGGTGACGTGACACTTCCATGATAGATCTTCAGCGAGGTACACTTCTAAGTATTTTAATGTGTCGACCTGTTCGAGCCCACGAAATGAAATAGTATAGGAAAAACAGACTTCATTCTTTGATCTGGAAAATGACATTATTTTAGATTTATCCTGGTTAATCGTCATGAGACAAGAGTCTCACCAAGTTGTTAGTTTTCCTAGATCGTCTTGTAAGATTGTACGATCCTCAATGAAAGAAAATTTGCGATAGAGCACAAGTTCGTCAGCGTACACTTTTACGGAGGAAGATAAAGAAGCAATGTCATTTACATAAACTAGAAAAAGTAGAGGGCCAAGAACCGAACCCTGAGTGGCGTCAGAGATGACGTCCAATGAAGAGTAAGTGGTATTATCGACAGTCACAGATTGGGTGCGATTAGACAAGACAGCCCTATTCCAGGAGACAAGATTATTATTCATGTTTAAATGGAAAAGTTTGGATATTAAGCTGGGGCTCTAAAGTCGTCAAACACAAAGTTGGGGCCGAAGTTCTCGGAGCACAACGATTGGACTACCCCGATGATGACTTCGCACTTTTTTCACCGGCATCCAATCGGCACGCTGTACAAACTTTCAGCTCTAATTTTTTTGTTTGATAAGTGTAGGGCCCCTGGTATGAGGAACACAGTCAAAATCACCCGTCACTCGCGAAACTTTTAAAAGTTTATGAATATTGCAAAGAATGCATGTTACTATGAAGATTGTAGGTGAGTTTGAGATAGCTGAGTAACACATAATAGGTTTTTATGAAATCCATGCTGGTTAGGGAACAACAAGTTGTTACTATCCAAATGTGACATTATGTTGCTGAAAACGATGTGCTCAAAAATTTTGCATGATACACTAGTCAGTGAGATAGGCCTCTAATCAGCTCATTCGAATTACCCAATTTGAAGATGGGTACTATGTTCGCATTTGACCAATCAGATGGCAGTTAGGAAAGGGCTAGAGATTGTTCAAAAGTAAGGAGCAGAAATTTAGTGGATGTATCTTTTGTCATTTTCGAAAGTCGAGTTAATTCTATCACAGCCAGGGGAAAAGTTTAGGGGAAGGCGATTAATAACATTCAAAATACCGACTATAGAGAGGTAAACATCCTGCATGTCCGTTGGGCATTCAAAACTAGGTAAGGGAGGCACTGGGAAAGTTTTGTGTGTAAAGATGTCACCGAAATGTGCGTTAAAAGTAGGGGCAGTAACTGCAGATGATAATGAATGATCTTGCGAGTCTGCAGTACGAAGAGTAGGATTGATAATAGACCAAACCTTTTTGGGGTTTTCAGCTAGCACTTTTCTGAGATCTTCGTAAAAGAACCTTTGCTTTGCTAACTGAGTCACGTTTGCATTCTTTGGAGAACGCTTGAAATTGAAGCCACATGTTGTTTGTGTTTAAGTTTACAGCCCTACGGTACAAATGTTTCTTCTTTAGAATTCATTTTATTTTCACTGAGAACCACGGACGAGATGTGTCTAAGGTAATTATTTTTTTAGGAATAAACTGAATCACTGAGCTAAGGAGTGCAGCCCTGAAAACTGTCCAATTGGCCTCGACTGAACCTGCGAATGCCCGGAGGAGAGAGGAATTAAGACCTTCTAGATGTGCCTTTGGGTAATCCCAGACTGTTTTCGGGGTCTTCTGCCTCTCTGGGACCTTTACCGAGAGAGTGATTGTTATGAGGGCATGATCCCCTATCTGTGGTAAGAAATGTATGATAGACATACGTTCAGGATGGGCAATAAAAAATAAGTCTAATGCTGAATTGCCGTGTGTTAGCTCAGCAATTTTTTTATGAAGTCCAAATCCAGAAAGGTAGGAAGAACAGTACCATCGAACCAGTTTCTACCGGGGAAGTTGAAATCGCCTGCTAGAATAATAATGCTGTTAAACCAAAAACACTTCTAGGCTGGCACCAAATTTATCAACAAAGTCTCTCCTAGCTAGGGTGACCACCCGTCCTGCGGGACTGTCCCGCATTGAGGGCTCGAGTCCCGCGTCCCACAAGAAATTCCAAAATCTTCAAAATGTCCCGCATTTCATACTGTAATAAAATTCACTCTGCAACTCATGGTGCTGCCAAGTCGCTGGTAATAGCGTGAATCGCAATGGTACGCCATTTTCTATCCAAGCATTGCAGGAAGCGACCGTCATTCTTGCAGGAAAACCGACGCGCATGCTCCGTTGTGCCTCTCCCCTTAGTGGCAAAATATTCTAAGAATAATTGCTCGCCAAAGTTTCAACCTAAAATATTGTAATTATTTTCATATCGCTCTGTCAATGCGAAAGGGTTGCTGTGGATCTTTGTTTTAGTGAACACAGCCACCCAAGGCAGAGCCTGCAACTTGGAACGGTCGAAAAGAACATAATGTTAAAGATTTGTGTAGGACAATGCTGATAAAAGTAGGCGTTGACAGGAAACAATAACCTGAAAGAGGTTTACTGTTTCTTATTTCCGATTGATGCATTGAGTTCTGCTAGTCGATTTATACGTTTTCAACTTCAACACATTTAATAGCACATTTGGCATCAAAATACTTCACTCGTAGTGAAACTTAATTGAGCTTAATTGCTGCAATACAATTAGCAGGCGCATAAACAGCACAGGATAATAAATGTGTTAACAGAGCCTCTGTTCGTGGTGTGTGTGTTAATACATTTCCACTTCCCCCTGCCTCCAGTGTCCAGCATTTCGCTAGCAGAAAGGTGGTCACCCTACCCCTAGCGCTGGGGGGACAGTAACATACACCCAATACAAATTTTAGATACAATATTTTAAATTTGACCCAAACAAGTTCAAGATTACTGGCAACTTCTACAGTGGAGGACTTGAAGCCGTTAATAGCAATTAAAACGCCTCCTCCTCTGCATTCAGTTCCATCTTTTTGGTATACAAAATAACTTGGATCGAGAAGCAGTTCGCTAGTGACGTCACTATTCAACAACGTCTCTGTGCCTAACAAAGAATTTACCTTCCCCTCACCATAAACGGGGTCCTCCAATATCTCCACTGATCCACAAGGGGTCCGCAAAGCATCAATGGCTGAGAACCACTGTGCTACATATTCGTTAGACAAGGCGGTAAGTTGGGCGAGTTGGTTGAACATCTTCAAACGTGAAAACAGCGCGAAAATTTGACAAAGGACGAGTGAAAGGGTGCATGGACAAAGCGCTGAACGGAACGGAGAGAAAGGGAATGCATTTTATCAAAAGGGGAAGGGAAATGTGTGAGTGTACCATCAGTGCACTTGGGGGATGATGAAGTCTTTTCTATCAAGGAGAATGGTAGGCACGGGTGAGGGTGATGACATAATAGAAATCTTGTCGGTTGGGTTGTATTTTCGTGACTTGATTGGTTCTTTCCTATGCTCCACGTGTTTATTTTCTGGTTCGCTTGAAAATTAAACGTTAGTTGATAAACAGCACTTTGTCCGTGCACTTCTTTCACTCGTCCTTTGTCAAATTTTTGCGCTGTTTTCACGTTTGAAGGTATTCGTTAGCGTGGACATTATGATAATGATATATTCGCACGAGAAATTTTTCACAAAATTTTTCGAGTCGCAAAATTACTAAGTCGTTTAGAACAGTGGTTGGCAACCAGCAGCCCGCGGGCCGGATCCGGCCCGCGAGGCAGTATCATGCGGCCCCCAGCAACCCCCCAGTAAACCCCCCCCCCCCAAGGCAGTCAGCTAAAGAGGAAAAAAAAAAGGATAAAGGTGACTAATCTCACGCGTTTTTTCTTTCTCTCTTTGTACGCCGCTTTTGACCTTCACTGAGGTTAAACAAGTACAAAGAGCACTGCTTGTTGGCCATAGTCCGACGTCCTTACACTTGTGTAGATAACACCTTCACGGGTATCCTAGCACAAAGGTTGGATACAATACGAACTTGACTGGTCCAGAAGTGAAACTGCTGGCATTAGAATGCTCTTTGTGGCCGTCACTCGCGAAACTCGTTCTGATTGTCACGAAAAGAATCAAAG